CACAAAATCAGGATCGACATCTGGTTTGGTCTTCATTTCACGATGCCACAAGAACTCTTGACTCGTGGAGCGATGAAGAAGAGCGGCCGAATGCTGCAATGATAAAGATGAAAATTATCACTTTCAGTTCTTAATATTTGGCAGTCTAATACTAGTCTAATGTGTTCGTGTAATTGAAAAATCTAGCAGTAAGTGGGAAAGATCAAAGTCGAAGTTGGTCCATAAATTTTAGGATGCGCCGCGCACACTGGTTGCGTTCAAATTCGGTGTAGCATTTGAATCCGATTGCCTATGGAGAAAAGGTGATTTTATACCACCAACCCATTGTGGTAGCAATCAACTTGTAATTGCAACTGGAAATGGTTAGTTGGAGGTGGCAAGATTCGAAAGAGCCCAAGACGATTCCCTTCGCATGGGATACTTTTATCTGCCCTCCTCTGTTGTGTTACCTATAGTCCGAATCCCTACACTGCCCTGTCAGTCACGAAGTACGCACCTTCATACTACAAGGCGATGTGAGAATGCGGGTACCATACCGCCAGTCGCAGGGGGTTATTGAAGAGCTATCGTTTATCAAAATTCTTTCCGATCGCTTAAAAGGGATAGCTAACAAAAACCAGCCCAAAATGATAGTTATGAATCTGTTTGAAATATGCTTAAAAAGATGGGACGAAAAAGACACAATGAGGAAAGGGAACGAGTTGAAATGAGATTCATCAGTGATTAATTGTTCAGCAAACCCGGATCCTGGAAGAGATACAATCCTCCGACAGTAGAAGTGGTATGTGATGCCTTTAGCTCTCCTAGCATTATCGATTAAAAACTTAGATTTGGGAAGTTATGACAGAACGAATGGATTATTTATTCTCAGCATTAGAGTGACCTGGTTCAACTTGCATTTAAAATCTATGTACTGCAAACAAGGCCGAGTTTATAGAGCCCTAAAAGGCCCCGCGTTGCTTCAGGCATTTTGAACATGGCCCAAAAAGAGCGGATAACAATTCTTCAGACTGAAAGTTTGCATTACAAACACAACCGGCTCACCTGCAGATATGTGGCTGGGTCCGGCTCTTTCAAGGCTTCAATACAAAACTGAATAAGGCCGGTAGTCCGCGATAGTTTTGCTGTACAACGCGAGATTTGCTCTCGTAATATTTGTTTCTAAAAATAGTATTTGAATATTATCACAAGGGTGCGGAGTTATAGGCAAAACAAAGCACATGGCATCAAAATTTCTAAAAAAAAATTGTGCAGAATAGTCTGGATACAACTATGACTGATTAACAACTGCCTTCGCTGTCCACTAGGAAATTTTGGATAAGCTTGCAGGAGTTTTTCAAAGGACGTTGGCAGGCAGACTTCACAAGAAAACCTCTATGGGAATTGTAAAAACCGCCATACAGTCAACCTACGCTGCTTACAGTTCTAAACAAGTGGAAGGGAGTAGCTATTATCTGACTTTTTTTTCGGGGTAAGAAGAGCGCGGATATATTATTGGGTCAAGTGTCAAAAGTTGAATAGGTCGTCTTGCGGAAGTTGGAAGAGGTTGGGACGGATTAGCAGAGGGCTGCCGTGTTTGTACGGGTTTCTGACGAACTTTAGTGGAAGCATATGGAGGAAGCATGATGCTAGCAAAAATCAGAGGATTTCCCTGGATTGGGCATATTTACTCCCCCTCCTTCTCTCGACGTCTGTTCTGGAGAAAAATGTGATTGGAGTTGAACTAGTCTCCAAAATCCAAATACTACAGAAAGAAAAACTCATGATAAAAATGGTGGTATTTCAGGACTTTTGCGAAATCGAGCCGCACAAAGTTTGAAGGGATCGTTTTAAGGGGTGGTGAGCATGCGAGACGGGCGTTTTATTTCGTATTTAGGAGCTCAGAAGGCTAGTGGGTGGTGGTTGGACTGTCAAAGTTTTAAAATATGACTGCAGCCGCACCCATCCATTTCAAATCAGGTAGAGTACCTAGCCCTTTCAACCATCGAAAACAGTGAAAGGATTGTACCCATTTCAAGGAGCCCCACTGTTTGAAAAGACCTTTTTTCTTTCAAAAGTTCATTTTTTTGGAAACTCCATATTGGAAGCAGAGAATTGCTTGATTTCTCACATAAAACCTTACCTTTTGGTCCTTTTGCTCATCCACATGCCTCATTAATTGCTCCTTTCGCATTTGAAGCTGCTCGATTAAAGCGTCTACTTGAATGCACAGATTGGATTTGAAGTCATTACACGTATTCTGCAAAAGGAAACGCTAATTGATTAGAGCGAAGGCAGCTGCCTCGTTTTCCTATTGAATACCGCTAAAAGCAGTTATTTTTCGGTCCTGAGGGACCGGGTGATGATGAGCCCTTTTCATTCGGCTCCTAAAGACTCATAGCCAGAGGGGTTCTTGACTATCGGGGGTGCCATGTTTTTACAAAACTATTTCATGAAGTGGACGACAGTTTAGGGGAAGCATATCCTCCCCCTGAAAGTATTTCTCTTTCGCTTTACACCTTCTCTCTTCACACAAACGAGGTTCACGAAGGCGCATGTTGAAATTCAACCTCAGCTATCCACTATATGGCGTTTTATTGAGATCCTTGTGTAGATCAAACTGAATTGAAAAGAAATATCAATACCACCCACATTCAGATTGTCGTGCATTTGTTTCAACCGTCCAATCTCTTCAGTGGCGGTCCGGGCCTTCTCACTCAGCTGTTGCAGAGTTGTTGACAGTTCGGCCTAAAATTTAAGAAATCAGTTTTGTCAGAGAAAAGTGGTAGGAAGATGGATTTTCGCGTTGTTCGCAGCTCTCCAAGGGCCAGGTGGTGCGCTGTTAAAGACAGCGTTTATTGGGTTCCGAGAAGGGTCAAAAGTTGGCATCAGTCAATCGCTTTTTGGGTTGCGCCATGCGTCCTACTTTTAATCGCTATCGCAGTGCCATTTGAGAGCGATTAAAACTCCACGATTGTTTGGGGCAGTTGATAAAACGCCTATGTATGCCTGTATGTACTTTCTCAATACTCTCTCAACCCAAAAGAAGAAGGAGTGGAAAAGAAGGCCTCATTGGTTTGGGTGGAATTCAAACCGGGATTTAACCTCGAGCAGTGCACGCCACCACCTCAGTGCTAATGTAGGCTTCAAAAAATTAGGACGCGTCAAAACTCGAGCAGTTCATCAAGGCATCCACCCATGTTGATTTATTTATTTGGCTTTACTTTGATTCAAAACAATAACGCAATGATATATGGGCTCAAATCTGCATGTTATTTCTTGGTCTTGCACACATTCAATTACCTTTTAGGCATTCCATTACAGAATGAATGTGTGGCGCATCTTTAAGCAAGGAGAAATCTCGAACAATTATTCGAGCAACGAGCTTCATTATAATGAACTTTTTCAATTTCAAGGCCAGGCCAATTTTCAATTGGAAATGGAAAACCAAAAGTCTTCTATCGACGAGGTGACCTCGAAATTAGCATGCATACGAGTTCATCACCCCGATAGGAACCCTTTACAAGCGCTCGTTTATCGTTTGCATTCCAAAAAAAACAATTCGTCCAAAAGCATTCCATCAAAACTTCAATTGTTTCCACTAAATTGCTGATTTTGTTGTGGTGACCGCTGTTTGGATGCTCATTACTTCATCTTCGAACTGAAAACAATGATCCTCCTGGGACAATCCTACTCAATTAGTCATTTACGGGAGAGGCTGATGTTTGGCAAGGGACAAAACGACCCAGTAAATGCCAAAATTCGCGCTATATGTGAAA